AAACATCCAATAGGTACTTTCAAATCCAAAATTCTCTAAATTTTGCGCCTCAGCGCAAAGGTGCAAAGTCAAAAGAATTTTTTAATGATTAAAAGGATTTTAACTTATGTTCTGCAACACTTCTCTACGATCATCTGCACCTTCAGAACGTGTGTTTAGTTCCGGCAGAATAATTTATCCGTCCTAACAAACCAACTGTCGGATGAATCATTTAGAGCTCTTGTTTTTTGAAAACTAATCATCATCATGAAATGAAAATTTGACGTTATTCAGAATAAATATAGATTTTTGTAATCCAGATAATAATCCGTAATCAGATTACTGTAATCCGTAATCCGTAATCCACACCATTAATTATTCCAAGTAATCCAACAAGTAATCCACATTATTTCAAGAGTGAAGTAATCCCAATCCAGTAATCCCACGATAACTTTTAAATTAATAAATTTGTAATCCGTAATCCATCGCAAGTGTTGGGATTGCCCATCCCTGCGTATGGCCGTATAATAATAACCCAGAGCGGCCCGTGGGAGTGCCCACTCACTCACACTTCAATGCTAATCAAATAGCGACAACTCGCACTTTAGGTCATTATTTATACGGTCATTAGGTTACGTCAGGATTCATATTCAATCACAATGTTAGGAGTCAGGACTTATCAAACAACTTGATTAAAACATTCAAAACTAGTAGATATAAAGGTGATCGACGACAAACACGATTTTAATCCCAATCCGGGATTAAAATTGGACTAAATTAATCCTAATCCCTAATCCCATTGAATGCCTAGAGAGATTTAATCCCGAATTAATTTTAATCCCGAGTTAATTTAATCCTTAATCTCAATCCTCAATCCCGATTAAAAAAAATCAATCCCTAATCCTAATCATTAATCCCACTTTCATTAATCCCAAGACTCTGGTGGGGATTTGGTGTATCGAATTAAGATATGCGTATGGACGGTAGGATTTTGCTGGTCTATCATAGGCCCGATAGGAATTATTTTGCTGAACGTGATTGAACCATACATGCCGCCATTTTTGGGATCCTTGTTACCAAAATTAAGAGGTTAGTATAAAGAGTTATATATTACAGCTCGTTAGGGACTGTGGAGAAAGCGTACGATCGATTTTAGTAGGGGATCAGGTTAAGGCACCCTATCCTCCCATCTCAATTATAACATTGGCGTATAGGTCACACCGGAAGGTAGGGGTCAAAATTTCCCGAAATTCGATCACATGCTTTGTGTACTTAATCCCTGAATATGCACATTTGATAGCATAAATTTTCAAAGAGTTTACATTGAAATTACCAACATTTGTTTATGTAGATAACAGCCAATCAAACTTGATTATTCTTGTGGCCCACGGACTTGTCATTTTGTTTCAAGGATGGACCTTCTTTCTCTTAGGAACCCCTTACTTGATGGTACTGGGGGATATCTTTATAGCTTCCGTCCTATCTTTGTACGTCTACCTCGAGATGTCGCCAAGGTTGGGAATATTACAGTTTAAGGTTTTGGACTAAATGTTTGGGGAAAATTTAGGGGAGAAGATCGGGTAGAAAATTTTAGAATCAAATTTGAGAGTATATGCATTTTGGGGAGAAAATTTCTGAAAAAATGTTAGAGAGACAATTGAGGGAAAATTTTTGGTATTGATTAAAATTCTTGTTTACTACATTTTTGAAATTCCATATTTCAGAGGAAACGGAGAATCCCAATTTCTACACGTTGTCCACCAAATTAATGATTTCACCCACCTAAGAATTATCGAGGGTCAACTAAACACCACTTTCCGATCGGTCTTCCTTCCCGGAACGTTTCTCATTTTTACCATGGCAAATATAACGTCGTCTTTTATCTGCATTTCGTACAACTCTTTGCTTCCTCGTCACCCTGGGAACGTCTTCTTCGTTCTGCTCTGTCTAGAGAGCGTCTTTATGATACTGTTTGTCGGGACATTTTGCGGCCTGGTGAATAAGAGGTCAAAGGTGGTGGTGACACAGATAAAGAAGGTTCTGCTGGAAGTAGGGGTTCCAGTCCCGGGATTTTTAGGGAATTTATTCCCGGGAATTCCCGGGAAACGGGATCCCGAAATCCCGGGATTTGAAGAATTGAAATCCCGGGATTTTTCAATTTGTCATTCAAGATTGAAAATGCCCTTCTATTTGACTTTTATTAGCGGTTTTGACATAATGTTGGGTTTCTACAAGCCTAACCAGTCAAACTTCATTCTGAACTCCATGATTAAGCTTTAAGCATCATGCGAAGCCACATTTTTTTATATGTCGTACATAAATTTATTCAAATCTTCTAGTTCGCAAATAAACCAAATATATAATGGAACTTAAAATTTTCTAATTTCGATGTTAGATTTACCCTTGAAGGAAGAAAGAAATCTTACCCTCGGTATAATTAAAGAATCTGAAATCAGTTATACTCAAAAAAGCTAACATGTAAGAAGTGCATAATTCCGAATTTTAGTCGATCAATTTAAGGCAGAATGAAAGGCTTTTTGAACGTGGTAGTTCATATATGTGAACTTGAAATTTTTGAATTGTCAAATTTTATGTACAATTGTGGTTTTTGTATAAGTGTATGCAGTTCAGGTTAAAATGCTGGCAAATTGTTGATTAATTATTTACCCATAAGTTTTCTGGAATGAAATTATTAAAATTTTTCTTGACACCTCTCCAAGACAGAGGGCGAAAAATTAGGCCAGCACATTACACCGAAATCTTACATTTACCATAGCAGGGAAAACAATATAATCGCTAATTTGTACTGCCATCATATGTATTTTGAGAAGGTTAGAAAATTCCATACCTTATAATAATAATTATGGATGCACAGATCCCGAAAAACATAAGTATATAGGTCCAACAGTATTATGAATATGCATATTTATGCTGTCCTTTTTAAAGTCATGTACCTTTTTGTATTCCCAAATTTAACTTTCTGGGCTAATGGGATAATGTTTGAATTTCGGGAAAAAATCCCGGGATTTCCCGGGATTTTACACGGCTAAAACCGGGATTCCCGATTCCCGGGATTGAAAAAATCGTCCGGGATTGGAATCCCTAATTACCAGCCTGAATATTTGTAACGAAAATGGGTGTTGACGTGTCAGAAATCGTCCACTCCAGTCCTCTAATTGCATTATGGGAAACTTGATTATATTCTACGTCCACTCGCAAAGGTGCAGGAACAACTGTATTGATGGCTGGTGGCGTATCTGCAATAAACAATTCTTTATTAACTCACAAATACCTCTGAATACAAAGTTGTAAATATTCGCACCTTCATTTAAAAGTGACGAGGTGCCACCCCCATCTCCAAAAGAACTCGTTTGTCCTCCTGCCGGTAGATCGGCGTCAGGACCGATATGTTCAGCTTCTAAATAAAAAGTTATCACGGGACCAAGCTTATTAGTTAAATAACCATTAATAATTATTAATTACCTGGTAGATTTAGTAATGGCATCGGAGGGAGAGTGGACATGTCGGCTGAATTTACATTTGAGGATCCAATTGGCCGAACAACTTTAGCTACAGCAATATAAATGGTTATAAAAGTTGACTATTGTAAATAAAAATATAATTATATTCTGCTTAACTATAGTTAAGCAGACATATGTATAGTATGTCGTATGAACAAAGAAATATGTACATAGAGTGTGTCCTAAAAGTTTCTCCCTGTTACCCACTAGTGTATTTTGTTACTTGACAAATACAGGAAGATCGAATCGTCCAAATGGCAATATTTTTTGAAAGTACCGCAATATGATGTGCGTAATCCGGCCTTATTCACCATTTCTACCATTCATGCTGCAAAACTGGGGTGCAAAATGTGTTGTCCTTACGAAACCAACCTGGGACCGGGATTTCGAAGTCGTGTTTCGGCCTTGTCATGGATGTTAAATCCTTCAAATTTGTTTTCCTACATCTCAAATGTTGTGGATTGAATTCTCAATGCTATTAAAACTAGCTGTTATCTGTGAATATACGCTTATAGCCGCCTTCCGCCGGGGTCAAAATAGTCGAAAATCTATGGTTTTAATCAGTTTTTCGAATTTTAGCCGATATCGCATGGCTTCAAGAGCCTTTTAAACTGACCCCTGTATGTCTGGCTACCCTCCCTTGTCATGCTGGGTTAGTCCCAAAGGTAGTAATCAAAGTATCTCAATTATTCCAAAAGTGTCGTAGTGCAAGATTTAGGCTCCTCTAGCTTTTGTAGCAGAACTAGCCAATTTCCTTCGAATTTGGTATTTAGGTGAGTATTTTTTTGATGGGGACAGTGTCCTCGAACTATCTGAACTGCGTTTTGATTTAAAATATATTTTGTTACTGCGCAATCCTATCTTTTACCAGACTATAACATTTTCAATTAAACCCATACCCTGCACTGGATGGTAACAGGATACTCAATTCCTTGTGGTTGCGAGAAGACTTTACCTTTGGTGTGGTATTGCAAAAAAAATTCACAACAAAACTCACAGACGCAAAAGCTAGCAACATAAAACAATCGGAAAATCCATAGGGAGAAACTTTTAGGACACCCTCTATGTATGCGGATTAAATAATAATATGCACACATATTATTAAATAAAAACACTAATTTTTATACATTTCGCTACTTATTTATTCCTCTAGGTCTAACCCATTGTTGATCTCTTTTCTTACTTTCGTATGATTTCTTTCAGTGGTTTACATGACATTTATATGTTTAATATCTGACTCTCATAAGTTTAAAAAATCGAAATAACATACCATTCGGCATTCTCACAATATTTCGGTCCGTTGATTTTATACTTCAAAACTTTGTGCGTACAATCTCAGCTATAATTTACCTATATGTAACATTGGCTGGGAATGGATGTTATTATTATAATTTTGTTCCTTAATATAAAATTCATTTTACCTATTTCTCTTTACAAGGGTAACATTATTTTTAAGTGTGCTGGTGGGAATTGTGAGACGAATAAAGTACATGGAGCGAACCGTGTTTACATTTTTTCACATCCATAGCAGGATTTTCTCCAGCAGGCAACTGCTGTTTTTAATTTGCTACTCAATAATTAATTATTGCAATTACTAATTAACTCCTACACTGAACTATTCGACATGGAGGAGCTTCTCGAGAGGGTGACCTATTTGGAACAGGTCGTGTCAAAATTGGCGAAATGGACACATTTTTCGGAAGTTGTAACTTTTGGTAAATTCTACAAATCCTTGCTTCCTTTATTAATACTTACATATATTAATCGAATACGTAATTTAATTTGCTAATTAAACGCTGCCTGATTAAATTAATGACCCACTTTAACACAGATTCTCCAGCTGAAGTCGTAATTTCGCCCGAGCGTGAAACAGATTGTAGTCAAAATTCTAAAATTCCACGACGACGACGAAGACGAGGTAATTAATTCACAATTTTGACATATCGAATGTGAATTTCATAAACAGCAGTTGAACACTAAATATTTAACTTTGAGTCAATTCACGGAGGCCTTGATAACGTTGTAAAACCCGTAAATTCCGGCTGTAAACTTCAAACTTTCAAAATTTTAAAAACATTTGTACGTAAAATCTGTCCACAATTTTTTGTAAACTTATGTATGTACTCAGATCAGATCAAGGCTGTGTTTTTATTTTGTTGTAAAATTGAAAATTATTTTACAAAATGTACGGATTTTACCAATTACACAGGACTGCGTTAATTGTGCTCTGTATTTTCATTCGACAGGTGGACGACGATCTTCTTCGTCGAAGGTTTCACCGGAGGTAGACGATTCCTCGCAATTATTTACTATCAAGACTGAAGTTGAGCTTGAAGAGGAAATGGATTTTGCAGATGACAATGATTTCGCCATATTTCCAAAATACCCTGATCAGACCGGAAATGACGACGCATTTCCTCCACCGTCTCAAGACGAAGAGGAAAGTCATGTAAGCAAAAACATGCATAGAATTTAATTCGTGTCAAGCAAGTTAAATATTTTAAAATTAAAAGTGATCATTCACCTCAAAATGTTATCTTAAATGACCTAAAAATTTAGAGATTATTTAATGTCAATGATGAATGAGAAATTCACACAGTCCTTCGCGAATCCAACTGTAAAATAAAATTACAAATTTCTACAAAGTTTTAGAAATATCCTACCTTCCAAATTTTTGTAAACTTGCTCAGATCAAGGGGGTTTTTGTGTTTTGTACAAGTTTGTAAAGTTATTTTTGCAAAACGCACGGATTTTGCAAAGTTACGAAAGAATGAGTTCCTTCAATGTGAATATTTTAATTTGTTGAAAGGCTTGCAATATTTTTGCACACCTTTTAGCACCTTATGTTTCATATCATAGATAAATACATACATAATCAGTGAATCTTATCTATTCCAGGATAACACCATCGTAGACGAACTTTGCGATGACGACTCTGAAAATCCCCAAGTTCGTAGCTTATCTCCAAAATTTGTCTGGACTCCTGAAACTGATTTGTTCCTCCTCGACCAAATATCTCAATTGAAGCTGCTTTCTCTGTCTGGGTGGAAATTGAACGCCACGTGGCGAAAAATATGTGCCAATATGAGTCATCAATTTCAAAAGGAGGTCACCCAGATCAAAGTCACAGGACGCTTTCACTTACTCCTTGACCAGTTCAACGAACAAGAACCGACGCCACGGAAAAAATACAAGTATTTTAATATTTCCACTTGATTAATATTTACTGAGGCAATTCACTCAGGTCTTGGTAACAACATTGTAAAATGCGTAAATTCTATAAAGTTGCAAACCTTTTTTTAAAAAATACAAATATTTCTAGCCAAAAGTAGATCACAAAGTTTTGTAAACTTGTACTCACTTCTCAGGCGTCGTATTATTTTGTTTTCGAAAAAGCCTTAAAAATTGTTTTGCAAAATTTACAAAGTTACCAATATAACTGCGTGAATGAATTGTCCCTATTATCTTGAATTATCTGATAATTTTATTTTAATTAAATTTAGACCAGGAGATGAACACATTACGGCTGAAATTAACGAAAAACTGGAAGCTTTATCGAAACTTGTGCAAGAAAATGAACAAAAGGACCAAATTGCAACCTCAAGCCAACAAGCAAGTGAAAATGTATGTAATCTTTTTAAGAAATTTCGGATTTTTTTAAGTTTTGGTCAACTTCGGAAGAGCTTTCTTGCTTTCATTGTGTAAACGTTGGTCCATTGGTCATGCGAGTTATGTGATTTTCTCAGAATTTCCTTATTTTTTTATGAAAAAACTATTAATATGCATCCCTTTCTTGATACTTACTTTTCCAACTCTTAAAAATAATGTTACCCTTTTGTAAAGTATATCCACCCACCCTGAATTCTAAATTCAGTAAATTGTGCCAAATCCAGACTAAACTGCATTCTTCATCAAGTCAAGATTACCTGGATTTTGCATAATTTACTATATATAAAATACAAAGTGCATGCATTTACTCTTTGAAAGAGGAACATTATTATTAAGATTGTACATAACTCCATCTGTTTTATAAAAATCTCCACTCTTTTACTCATATTTGTAGCTCGATCTCTCCACGCTTGAAGTTCGTACCGTGTTATCATACAAGGGGAAGCAGATGTTGCAAGTTGACGGCTTTCTGTACCAATTTGCAAAGAGCGGCGTTAAGAAAAAAATTTGGAGGTGTGACAAGTTCCAAAGTGCTCAGTGTCTTGTACGAATTCACACCTCGGAATGTCCCACCAATCCTAAAATACTGTATGTTGGGGGCACTCACACCCACTCGCCAGATCCCGGAAGATGTGAGGCTAGGAAACTTTTAAGTGATATTCGGCTAGCAGCGTCACGTGGGTGCGAAGATGACGTGTCGAAATTTATTGAGGAAAATGTGTCCTCCGCCGCGAAGGTGTCGCTTCCTCGGATAGATTCGATAAAGCGTGGCATTCGAAGAATTAGGTCGCGGTGTCAAAAATCTAACATAATTTCTGAACTAGGTTAAAATCCGTAAATTTTGTAAATTTTGAAATTTCCAAGACAAAATAGCTCACGATTTTTATAAATAATTATCCTCAGATAAAGGCCTTCTTTTTATTTTGGTAAAGTTTGTAACAGTATTTTACACAAGTTGGGGATTTTACGGGTTACCACAATCACTGCGTGAACCGTGCTTATTTATTAAAGTTGTTAGTTGCACAGATAATTATGTAAATTTAAGTGGTGGGATGAAATAAATTTTTTGACAAATTTTGGAATTTGGACATTTTGTAAATTGCTTTCTACCAGGGGCCGCAGAAGCTGTGGGAACATAAGCATTGCAGGATAGGGTAAGGGAGGGATTTATACATATGGGCAGATAATGGGGACATCGAATACCCGTGGGGACATTTCCCCTTGTCCCCATACTTCCGCGGTCACTGCACTAGGACCTGATACTGAAAATAATTGCATGCATGCAAATTACTGCTTGCTTTTTTCGCCTTAAGGTACCACAAGAGAGTTGGCAAGGGATTTCACATTGATTTTCTCAGAAACTATAGTAGGTGGGAATTTGGTTCAAATACAAATTTTGTAAAAAATATACTGCTCTAAATTTTGGTAAATGTCACCTTTTGCTGTTACTTATACTTAAGTATTTATAGCCAAAATAGTCGAACATGATGAAAATTTTTTAAAACGTCCTACCGTCAAAACCATCCGGAGCACAAATGTGCGACGATTCCCATATCGTGCGAAATAGTTTTACATGGGGAGCATAATGGGTCTCATTTCCATATTGTCTTCCGTACTTTTCAAAATAGCATTTCTATACTTGCCCTCCCTATTATTTTATGTTTCTGAGGACAAAAATGGTTCACATCTCTTTACCAGACACAAATGAGCCCACAAACCGATTATATACCCTGCAGAAATATATAAGGATTCTAAATAACAACCATTATTGCCTCAAAGTCCACCTTCCATCTCGGGGAGCTCTTAAAAATGCCCCAATGCCCTTGTTGCTAACGTATTATTTGTAAATTACGCCGGTAGCAGATGCAAATTTTAATCATAATTTTCTCTAAAAAATCATGTTGCTAAGTCCAGAAAAAAATTGAAATACTCAACCTCTTGTGGTACCTTAATGCTACATGAATATATTTATTACGGAAATTTTGACCAAATAAATAATAAATACTAGAGATAATTTTATTGATCGACATATTTTTAGATCGAGCACTGTGTCAACTGCAACAGAAAATTTGGCAGGAAAATGAGGAAGCGGATCGTGAAAGGGAAAACGACAGAATATTTGCAAGAACAGGGAAAAATACAGAAATCCGATGCCACCCCGCATTTGTGTGAAGGTTGCCGGCTCAAGTTAATGTTCTACAAGAGATCCAAACCACATATTTAGTACGGCATTATGTATCTGATGCGTAAATTTAGTAAATTACTATATATGTACTTTTTTAATGCAAAATTTTTATGACATTGTACAAACCCCAAAAACCAAGTTTGTACAAAAATAAAATGTTTTCAGGGTTTAAATAAAAATATAAAATGAAACATTTCTGTGCAAGCTGATTACTTAAATACGTACGTACCCGAGGTTTGCATACCAGGGAAGGGACAAGGGAACCTCCATAAATTACGTAACGGTTGAGAGAGGTGAGACGATGCAAGCTTAGCGTCACAGGCCGGTTTGCACTAGTGAAAAGGGTCAGTTTAGAAATTATGTAACGCAAAAATTGCGATTTTCGAGACCCCTTTATCATGTGCTACATAAACAACGATATCATTCAATCCTTCAACAGGGGAGGCGATGAAAAATTGCTTGCCTGACATAATTTATGGACGTTCCCCACTCTGCATATGAAGACCTTTCTAATTCTTGGAATAAATGTATAATCGGACCAGTGACCCTTTCCCCCATGCAGAGTTACATAAATATGTATACTTTGCGTTAATTTATATTTTCTCAATCGTTCAGGGTAGAAAGAGCAGTCAGTCACTCGGACCTACCTGACGAGACCGTGTAGACAGTTAATTTTCTCTTAATAGCCAAATTAAGAAAATCACAATTTTACTTTAAAACCAATCATTGCATTTCGAAATTTTACTCAACCTTAAGTACAGTGTTCAGATTCATATCGTGTAAACACAAATAATTATTCATCAAGCCGAAGAAATGGATCCCGTGAATCTTGCGCTAACAAATCAACTCGTAAGAAATTGCAAATCTGTCAATCTTTCTGAATTTTCTTCTGGATTTCTGAATTTTATCTTAATTCTAAAACTGCGTATTAAATTTGAATATTTAGTACTGCATAACAAATTCCGTATAAATTTGAATCAAATTTCCAAAATGATATTCCAGATTTTCGACAAAATTCGAACCTTCATCCCCAAATCAGGCCCAACTTTACGGCTCGTTTGCAAAACCTGGAATGATCAAATTCTTTCTGATCCCCGTCGGAAACTGGTCCTACATTTGCATCGCCACTCATTCCGAGATGCCGACCTCTGCTGTGACCCTTTGACCTTTGAACGCTTTGGAATGTCGATGGAGCCTCGACTCGCGACCCACGTCCGGTTCTGGACCAAGCACTGCTGCGTTCATTTCAATTCCGGCCAAAGAGAAAGAGATCAGCACTACAAATCCTTAATGACCCGATTTTACCACCTTTGCGAAAAATTTGGCGAGATTATCGAAACTGTTGAGATTCTCGTGAGGTCATCGATGTTGCAAATCTTGTACGAATTACTGACCAGGTTTTGTCCCAATTTGAGATATTTGCGTATCCGGGAGTGGTGTGTGGATCTTTCTGAGCGGAAGGAGGGGGAGGCAGCCTTGGAGTGGGGGCGACTTCCGGTACGACCTGATTTGGTGGGGCTACACATCGGGACAAATAAAGAGGCAGATGAGGGTGCAGTGAGATTGAGAGAGTTTACGCAAATGTTGGTCAATTCTGCCCCTGCGCTAAAAATGGTGAACCTTCCGAAGCATCCCGACTTTAAAGATTTGAAGATTAAAGGAAATGTGGAGATTACCAGGTATTTATTTGAACGATAATATCTACATATTAGAGCTACAAAATTAAGATACTCGCATTTTGAAATATTTGAAAATTATATAACTTGTTTTGTACTTTGTGTTTAGGAATATGCATACGCCGTTGTTTGGACACATTGAAAAATTATATTAAGACATGCGCATAGTTACATACACATAAGATTGGCACTAATTGGCAGTATGTACCGTACACACGGAACAAATTTGGATACAATTGAATCAACAACGAAGGTTTGTCAGTTGTCGAAATTTTACTCAAAAATATTTGTACTTGGGATTAGCATAAATATTTTTTAATTAACCTGTGGACTGATTTAATTTTATTGATTTCTTATTTTTGCTAACAATTTATTTATCGCACCATATATACATACTGTCCTCGTACTCGGCTCTGTCACCTCATTTGCATATTTTAACGCATTCGTGAGAGTCATAGAGTTTACTCAACATGGATAGCCCGTATCGCCGAAAATGGGCTATTGAGATTTATGCAAATGAGGTGACACGCCTAAATGCGAGGATAGTACATACATACATACACATATGAATGAAAAACTCGAATGTCTGAATAAAGCCATTCATTTCATGTATTTTTGTATAAGCATATCTGTTGTTGTTTGTTTGTTTGTTTAGCCAAGATTTAAGAAATTGCATAGTTCCATTACAGGATTTGCAAATACATAGGATCAAATCGAGCATTTCATATTGAATTGAATTTTTATTGCTGTATGTTATTGGGGATTCAGGCCCATAGGGACCATTCATAAATTATGTAACGCAAAAATCGACTTTTTCAGACCCCTGTTACAATTGTGTAACGCAAGACCACTAACCCCTCCAGCCAACGTAACTCGAATTTTATTTTCTCCAAGATGTAAGGAGAAAAATGAAAAAAGTGAATGGTTAATTGGTGGTTGCTAGATAAATATTTCTATATGTTTACAGAATGCTGCAAATTTGTATGGATTTAATTAATCGAATTACTAAATTCAAGCGGAATCAAGCATAGTTGTGAAGTATAGTTGTAAGCATAGTTGTGAGCATAGGAACAATATCGGATATATTTAGATATCTAAGATTGATATGATTGTAAATAAATATCTATGTATAAATTTAAACCTTGAGCCCAATTTCAGAAACCTGATGGTCCAATTTTTTATGAGATAACGAAGTGTTCGAACTTGTATACGACACTGGTCGGAATTCTCAATTTTTGTAATTATTAGTTTTAAAGATTTTATTTGCACACCATCTCGAATTATGGTGAAAACGAATTTCCCGGGAGAGGAAAAATTTTCGAGCATTTTTAGGAATTTCTGAAATTTTGAAACTTTCCGGGGATTATTTAGCATTGTTAGGAAATTTTCAAATAATCGTCGGCAATTTTCAATTTCCGGGAATTTTTGAACATTTGGGGCAAATTTTGGTAGAATTTTGAGTTTGGTTTGAATTTAAATTTGAGTGACGTCATCGTCTACATCCGGTGAAACTTTTGAGTTTACAACTTTTTCCTGAAAGTACAGTTTATGAGCACTATATTCGGCATATAACATGCCATTATCCGTTATGATAAATATTTTGTAAGAATGAACCCATAAATACGATAATTATCTACAACTGGTCCATATTAGACAAAACTTCCAGTTTGTTTGCACAGTTATCGAGCGGTTTTTACACATTAGGTCTTTCATTACCACTATAACTACGGATACCTCTAAATCTATATACATACCGCTAATTTCATAAGAATTTATTAGTTTGCCAGAGTTAGTATGCTATTGGCCAAACAACTTGTCTTGTGAGGCAAGCCTGCTAAACTGTTGACTAACAATTCGATGGGGTAAATTGTTACCCTCCAAATTGATTGAAATTCTGAAATTACTTGGTCCATGTCAATACAACCAACGTTTTACCAGCCAGTTTCTGCGATGGTCAGAATTTGTCAAAATATTTTATGGCAAAGTTTAAAAATTTGGCGATTTTTACTATGCGGAGCAATCAAGCTGACTTCAATTCTCTCGCTGTGCTAAAACTCGTATGTTTTTCAACTTTGGACTAAAATATTTTGGCAGATTCTGACCATCGCACAAACTGCGTGTTGGTGGTACTGACATCGACCATGTAATTCCAAAATTTGAATCAAGTCGAAGGGTTACACTTCACACCACCGCATTGTAAGTATGTTGCTTATAAAATACTTACATGTTTGAGACTAAAGTACAGGTTATTGTGAAATGATTATGCTACTTGTATGTAGTAATCATCTACCTAATCATGAAGTATATCAAACAGAAACACCCAGTAAGCAACGTTCGAACTTCGTTTAACCCCCATATATATCACCCCCTTCGTTTAACCTCCAATAACTGACCAGCGAAATTTCAAAATTTTGACGAATACATGTTCCATAAGTTTTTGCAGTAGTTTATCACAAAGTCGGCTATATACCCACAAGAACTTGCAGTTTGCAATGTTTCATATCAAACAAGTACTTTTATAAAGCATACCATAGGATTTCAAATTCGGATACGTGAGTTCGACGATACGATCGAAACAGTCGCGACTACGTTAAATTGTTCTAAAACAATCAACATTTTTAGTATCATTTTAGGCTTAGTGTTCGTTGGTAACAAAATGTCTCGCACCATTACGCGAGTATAAAGAAATTTAGTAATATTCAATTATAGTAAACTACATGACAGAAAAATCGGAATTTCCGTCTTAATGATATCAAAATTTATTGGACATCAAAATAGATACTAAAGTGCAAAGTGCATACTTATGTATTCAACACACATATATACACAAACACAAGGAATAATGTCTTCATTTATATTAGTTTTGCTTTATAGCTATCTTCCATATTTTGAAACACTTTCAAATTTTGGAACTTTTTCCCACCCAAAACTTACACAATGTGATTAGCACCATCTCGCCAGGCTGCATGCCACACTTGATTTATGATAAAATTCAATCTCATCATTTAATTCTGCCTGACGCTAAGCAACCCATCATGATATCCGTCCTGGAAAAAAATTACACGACATTACAAAGATTTGAGTATACATTTCCGTTAGAAAACCGATTAGTTGCCAAAAGGATAGATAAAATTTCCACACTATATTGTCGTATCCTCCTCGTGGGGATATATCTTGCAGCCCCGATGGATATCATGAGGTCGAAATCGATCGGAATTTTTCTCGAATTATACTCAAATAGGTATTTCAACTTGATTGACTATGGCTATGTTACTGTCAGACCTGTTGGGCGTGTATTTGTCCTTCTTTTCTTACATACGCTACACAAATCAATGGAATATACATCCATGATACCGCTATATGTCCCAATTCGTAGAATAATTCCACACTTCGCCGTTTTATTTCTGCCATCCAACGACGAGGAGAATAGCACCATGTGTATGAATAAATTCGAAAATAGCGTCCCATTCCTACGGAACATGAAATGTTCCACCTCCTACCCTTTAGATGATCTACTGTCACTTTATTCAATGACAAGGATGCCCTCGGATTGGGCCGTTGAACAGTACCACAATTTCAAAGAAAATAAGGCGTTCTTCACTAGCGCGAGATATATTGCTGACGCAATCTTGGTGCAACACCTAAACTATACTCTGAAGTGGAGTGACCACAGGAACAGCAAGGAGTGCACTAAATTCAGACTTAAGCCGAAATGCTTCCGCCTTATGATACTTCCAGAGTTGCCTGATATCTTGACGTATATTGCCACCGGAACACCAGTAACTATTGAAAGTAGAGAGTATGCTTTCCTGACATGTCATTACAGGGAAGATCTAAGTTTCAGATTTTACACGAATCCCTTTGAAACCACTGTGTGGGTTGGCATTGCAGTTTCTCTCATGACCCTTATAGTTCTTGGGGAAGCCTACGTGGCCATTAAATTTAATCAGTTTCGATTTACCGTGACGTTTTACATGTGGGCCACGGTTTTCGAACAATCCAGCAGAGTGACGTCTGCAGTAAGTCATACTAATTTCTTCCGTGCCCTGGTGGTCGTTTGGCTGGTGTCTGTTACCAGGTTAACAAGCAGCTATCTCAGCTTGGTAATTAGCAGTTTGAATTCCCCGTCAGTTCCAACTTTTCCGAAAACGCTTCAAGTAAGTACAAGCATTTCATTTTACATTTATTTACGTAAGGAAACGTTTCCACGTTATCAACGATTCGTAGTGCACCTACTTAATTCATGTAATCACGAATATATGTAAATATTCGTGCTCAACGTTAGTCGTTATTAATATCCACAACATTAGATATAACTTACCGTAAAACCTCTATTTATAGCCGGGGCTAAAATTCAAAACTGAGGGTGACGGACCCGGCTAAAATTAGAGACCCGGCTATAATTAGAGACCCGGCTAAATTTTGTTCCGCCCAAAATTTGAGATGTTACAAAATCAAATATAATTCATGTTGACTCAATTTGAGTTTTCTAATTTAGCAAGATAAGCCATAAGTAACCCATTCTCTTTTAATCTACATCTTGAAACGAAGTTTAGCAGGTTTTTTAAATTTTCTCTCGTGATTATATCCATTATTAACCTGAAATTAATAGGAAAAAATTAGTAGTTCAACTTATTCGATGATTGGCATAATGTGCAACATTTTTCTTTAATAAACTATGAACAGGGACACAGCGGACAAGACAGGTCATAATTAGAGACCCGGCTATAATTAGAGACCCGGCTAAAATTTTGAAATCTTGGTCTCTAGACCCGGCTATATTTGGAGACCGGCTATAATTAGAAGAGGGCTATAAATAGAGGTTTTACGGTATGTCAAAAACTTTCATCCTTAACGGTATGTATTGTCGCCACACCTTCATAGTACAATCTGTTTGAATACTATACATCAGTACGAAATACACCGGCCAAAGATTTGCGGTGTATGGGTATTAGAGATGCCAGTAAGCCGGCTTATATAGTTATGAGTCAAAACAAGCCGGCTTAGTAGCAACCCGGCTTGCTTTGACTCACAACTCAATAAGCCGGCTTGGCTTCGCTTGCATTGACTCGACTCATTAAGTCGAGTCAGCTTACATATGCACAGGCATTCCAGGTTTAAATAAATGGACATTAAGTAATTATAACAACAAAAATATCATTTAGAAAAATTAGAGTTATCTTTTAAAATGTTGAGCATCCAAATTAAATCAATAAGGTGTGTCCAGGAATAAATGGTTCCGCGCGTAATGACCTCCACATTACGACCTTGTTAGTAGATATTTATAAAGCTTGTCGGAAATTGTAGGTAGGAACCAGACATGTC